AAAAAGCTTTCCCTGGGATTCGTGAGCAGCAAATTTTACAGAGATAAGCAACATTTTAATACCTGAAATTGCTTACTAAGAAAACACTGTGCAGGACTCAGGAATGACCAAGTGCAGCATTAAATGAGCTGAAAACCCTTCAGCATGTTCTTTCTCCCACTCCTGTAACAGAGCTTGTCCAGCTCCTTCACTGAGCTATTGCAATAGCTCATACTCAAGAACAAATTAAAACACTCTCAGAGTTTTTTTTCCTTATAGCAAGAAGTATTACTTGGAAATAAAATCCATTTTTCCCTATTCTCCCATGTATTTTTCAAGACTTAGAACAAAGCTCATAATAAATAACTTCTTGCCCTCTCAAATCTGGGCACTCAACTCACCAGTTTCTTTAAAAATTAATAATAAACATGGTATGGTTAGTACATTTTACTCATTTACATTCAAAATCATCCAAAATGAAGCTTTCCTCTGACTGTAGGCACTTCAACATCAGTCATAATAATACAAAACCCTAGCAGATTTAGAATAATTATTTCAGTGGGAAAGCAGCCCTTCAGACCTCTGTAGATGCTCCTTTCCCTCCTTCATCGTGTTGGGAAATAATTCTCTTCACAACATGCTATCGAACGTATCTTTTGCACAAAAAGATGACAAGATTCAAGCTCTTTTTGATGATGACAGACATACAATCCCACAGTCCTGGAGAACATCCCGCCACCTGCTTCTTTAGTTTTACCAGGGCAGAAAAACAACTGGCTGCTACTGCTGACTTGGATGAACTAAGTTGTTAAAAGCCTTCCAAGGCAGAAGCACTGTGTTAAATACACTCAGTAGCCACTGGCCAGCCAAAGGGACACCAGGGAGGACGTTCTGCTTCAGAAAGGGACTCCTGGTGCAGCTGCTGTCACACGAGCAGGGCAGTGACAGCACCAGGTGTGGGTGTGATGTGTTCTGCACCTCATTTGCCATCGGTTCCCACAGCTGTCTTGTCAAATACAGCCTGGAGAACACGGCTGGTTTGCCAGGCACCCTTGGAACCGCCCGTGTTACGGGTGACACGCTCAGCCAGCCTTCGTGTGCTGAGCTGACACGGATCCAGCCCAGCTCCGGGGCCACCTTTCTGCAGATGGGACAAAGAAACACGTTCTCTGTCGAAGTTCAGTTTTAGGGTGCACTCCACACTCCTCCTGGAGTGCCCACTGCAATCCTTATTCACCTTAAAATGCCCAAAGGTAATTTAAAAGCTACTTCAGTATTAATGTGATGTAATTTTTACACCAGCAGTTCAAAGTAAACAAGTTTCAACCACACTCACACAAACTCTTTCTGCTTTTTTAAGTTACCAAGCACATACCATAAAGACAAGGCTTTATCCTTTGTAATCACTGTGATTTTTTTTCCCCCCAGTACAGTTATTCAGATCTCATTCCAGAATTCATCATCAAGTTAATTAACAGATTTCAGTTTGTTCTGTGTTTTAGAGGAGGTTGTTTGTGGCCTGACTCTGGGAAAATGCACAAAAGAGGCAGCAGCTTGTTTTTCAGCTCCTGTCTTTGCATTTTCTGCCCAAGAGCCAGGGAAGCATGTAAATTAGGGAGCACATGTATCTTGCAGGATTAGCATTTCTCAGAAGGCCGAGAAATGACAGCACACCTTCCAATCTCAAGATAGAAAAATTGATCATGTACCATTTCAAGGGCGGATTTTTTTCATGTTTCCCTGCCAAGCTGCTGATCTGAAATCTTATTTATATTTCATTCAACCCCCTTTCGGTAACAGCAGCTCCTCTGTCGGTAATATAATTGTTCATATTACAATGCCTCAAGTGAGGTTAAGACTCAGCGATGAAAACATATGCCACATACAAATATACATAATGTACAATATAGGAAATCCATCAGGATTCATTTGGAGCAGTTACCTGAGCACTCTGGATAATAATCCTCCATGAAATATTTCACAGCGTGAATATCAAACATGTAAAACTGCCTCAAGGCCAAGGGAATCAGAGTGCACCAAATGAGTTTTCTTGTAAAGATCTGTTCCTTCAGAAATTTAAATGAAAATTTAAGCAGAGAAATTTTTCCAAGCAATCACAAGAGAGTAAATTTAGGAAGGGAAAGGCCAGAACCTTTAGATATTGTCTTAGTAAGTAAGTTCTGCAGCCAAAAGCTTAATTCAGATCAGCTTTTTTTTTATGGTGCATAAGTATTTTGAGGTAAAAAACATTGATTCCAATGCTCGTGGTTATTAATGAAATGTCTGCTTCTGGCACTTAGAATTTAAAACATGATGGTCCCTCTAGATCACCCTGGTGCTGTGCTGACAGACCATCAGATTTCAACCTGTATTCATCCAGTAACATAAAGCACAATGTCTGCTCAGCTAAAAAATAATTTTCAGAAATACATCTAATCCTCAGCAGAAGACATGAAACGATGGCATATCCTCAGCTTCTCTTGGGAATGTGTTCTGGTGGTTAACCATGGAAAAATGTATGTCTTATTTCCTATTTGAATTTGTCTGGCTTTTGCCTCTGGCCATTACTTCTTATTATGCCTTTCTTCAATAGATAAAAGAGCCCTTTAATATCCTGTATTTCCCCCCCAGGAATGTTCCTATACACTACAATCAAGTCACCTCCCAATTCTCTTTCAGATAACTTTTAACAGCCTGAGCTCTTAAAACATTCCAGTGTAATGCGTTTTCTCCGACCACCAGAACACTTTGCCTCGTTCTTTTGCTCCCTCTTATATTCCAACACGCTCCTTAATATCTGAAAACCAGTGCTGTGTGCCCTGTGACGACATTGTTGAGGCCAAACATGAGAGGTAAAATAAACATTTTTTTAATTCCTTTGTTTATACATTGATTAATCCTTTTCTGCCATGGCAACACACAGGAGAGCCCTTATCTGATTGCTTTCTTTTCTGACCCTTAAATCCTTCTCAAAGTCGTTACCTTCCCAGGCTGTAGTCTTCTGGTCTCCAGTTAAGGCCTCCACTCTTGGTTCCTAAGATGGACAACTATATATTTTGATGAATGAAAATTCACTAAGTTTGAACAGGCTGCTTCTACCAACTGTTCTCATCAGTGCCCCGTCCTCATCATTATTTATGATTCCATTAATCCTGGAGCTAAATTTTTGCAGCAGCAGCCACAATTACAGCAGGACCTGCTACTGGAACCTTTTTAGACACCACCTCTTTCAACTAAGTGCTCATACAGCTTTCTTATTCTTGAGAGCTGGCAGCAAATCCCATTTGCATGGGTTTATTGGCACAGCAGGCACCTAATGTTAATGAGAATATCATGCAGCACTGAGTCTTGAGTCAAGTACCTCCTCAAAACAGTACTGATAGCTATTTTAACTAAAACACTGTGTAGATTTGCATCAATTTCCTTCATTTCAAGTTTTTATTACCTGAATCCCACAGAAGATTTTTTTATTTTGGTTAGATAACTATAAAGTTAAGCAGTCACTGGGGTCACATTACCTACCCTTTTCAAAAATGGCACGAAGTAACATTTTATCACTTGTTTAACCTCCTAATTTTAAGGCAAGATCTGGAGCATTAGCAAACCACAGATCAGCGCCAGCTGGACAGGCAGAAGCATCAGAGAGCAGAGGTGACCAGAGCTTGTGTTTCCCACGGCACTTCCAGCATGGAAACTCCAGCAACTGTGGACTTTCAACGTACCTGTTCCCAAACGTTCCAGTCCCACTGAACTTCCAGCCTTGCACGCACTCGGGAGGAGCTGTGGAACCTCCTCCCGCCTATGGAGATGGGGTCAGGCCCGACTCTGCCTCAGGCACAGCCCAAACCTCCCCAAGCAGCTCCACAGCCCTGCGGGTCACTCACTGCCTAAACCGGCCCGACCGCCGGGGCTACGACCACGCACAGCCTCAGCTTTCCCTCTCGTGTTTACACCACCAGATTTCGGCTTCTGGAGGCAAAGGGGAGGCAGAGGGGCAGGGGCAGCAGGCGCAGACCTTGGGGGTGCCGGTGCCAGGCAGGGTGGCTGTGGCTGAGGGCAGCAGCAGCTCACCTTGTGTTAGAATATAGAATCACAGAATATCCCCAATTGGAAGGGACCCACGAGGATCATCGAGTCCAGCTCCTGGCCCTGCATGGGACAACCCCCAAGAATCACACCGTGTGCCTGAGAGTGTTGTCCAAACACTCCTTGAACTCTGTTCAGGGTTGGGGCCGTGACCTGGAAAGCCTGTTCAGTGCCCGACCACCCTCCGGGTGAAGAACCTTTTCCTAAACCTCCCCTGACACAGCTGGCAGCTTCTTATCACGCACATTTCAAAACAGAAGGATGTTTGAATTCCAAGTTCCTCCTGTCTGTAGATCTATAGAAGGAACGGCAACTAATTTACTGGGGGCCAACCATGGTGGTGACTGCTCTACAAGTCTGATGCTCCAACAAGTCTTAAACTGCACCAGGGGAGGTTCAGGTTGGACATTAGGAGGAATTTTTTCCCAGAAAGACATTGGGGTGCCCAGGAAGGCAGCGGAGTCACCGTCTCTGGAGGTGTTTAAGGAAACACTGGACGTGGCACTTAGTACCAAGGGTCTGGCTGACACAGTGGTGTTGGGTCACAGGTTGGGCTCGATGATCTCAAGAGGTCTTTTCCAACCCCACTGACTCTGTACGAGAGTGAGGAGGAGAAAGAGAAGCAAACGGAGAAGGCTTCGAGATATCCCCGGGCAAACCCCCACCCTCACTCACTGCCCCCACTCCTTCTGCCCCTCACGCTCGAGGCCGCCTCGCGCCGCCCGCCGCCTCGCACAGCGCCGGGCCCCGATTGGCTGCACCGCCCCAGGGGGCGGGACCTCGGGGGGCCGCGGCCAATCCGCGCGCGGTGGGGGCGTCTCGGCAGGGGGGTCCCGGCCGCGCGGCTGGGGGGGGAGCTGCGCGCAGGCGCGGAGGGGCGGGGCCGGCGCGGGCGTGAGGGAGGGAGGGAGCGAGAGAGCGAGAGAGAGAGCGGGGCCGGAGCGGCAGAGGAGCCGCGCTGAGGCGAGGGCAGCTCCGCCGCGTCCGTCGCGCCCCGCCGCCTCGCTCTCCAGCGGGTTTCTCCTCAGGGAGCAGCTCCCCTGCCTCGCGGAGCCCTCGTCCCCTCCAACCGCCCATCAGGAGAAGTCCCCCCCCGGCGCCCCGAGCGCGCCGGCGGTCCCGCCGCTCGCTATGTCCGTGGGCCAGCGCCTGGCCCGCCTGGCCGCCCACCTGCAGGACCCGCACAAAGTGGCCGCGTTCCAGCGGCTCTGCGGCGTGGAGGGGCCCTCGGGCTGGGCCGGCGCGGGGCAGCGGGGGCCGGTGGCGAACGGCGGCCCCGCGGGCGGGCAGGCTCATCCCACCGGGAACGGCGCCGGGAACACCGCCGGGAACGGCGCCGTGCCCGGCGCGGCGGGACCCCCGCGGCCCTGGAGGAGGAGGCCGCGCCGCAACTCGCTGACGGAGGAGGAGGACGGCAGCCAGGAGTTCGCCACCCGCAGCCGCTTCCTCTACTATCTGTTCAGCCTGGGAACGGAGCTGGGTAACGAGCTCTTCTACATCCTCTTCTTCCCCTTCTGCATCTGGAACCTGGACGCCTGGCTGGGCCGGAGGCTCATCATCATCTGGGTGGGGGTGATGTACCTGGGGCAGTGCACCAAGGATGTGATCCGCTGGCCGCGTCCCGCCTCGCCGCCCGTGGTGAAGCTGGAGGTGTTCTACAACTCGGAGTACAGCATGCCCTCCACCCACGCCATGTCGGGCACCGCCATCCCCCTGGCGCTGCTGCTGCTCAGCTACGGCCGCTGGCAGGTAAAGCTCGCACCTCCGCGTCCTCGCCCGTGCGCTCCCCAGCCCCGGGGTGTGAGGATGTGACAGTCCTGATTTATTCTGGGAGGGGAAGTGGCTGAGTTTGTTCGGGAAAAATGTGAAATTAGTGTCTTTTTCCCTCCCCACTTTATTTATTTATTTGTTTTTCTGTGATCCAAGCGAGTGCTCAGGTAACAAGAACTATTCTAATAATTCTGTCCTGTGAATGGAAGTCTTGCTGGCTTTGTGGATTAGCTCAGCACGCGCGAAAAGTCTGCGGTAAAAATCTGCATTTTGTTCTTGTGAGGGTTTTTTTTCCAACTTGTCCCTTCTTCGCGCGAAGTTTGGATAGGCACCCAATGTTTTTACAGGCATTTGGTTTTACAGAGTGAGAATTTGGTGGAGAGCCAGCAAGTAAAGCACGTTTTGCTGATCGTTCTTTGCCTCAAATCACTTTGTAGCCTCAGTCAGTCTGTAGCTTTCCTTTAACGATTTTAGTTTCATTAACCACAAACTGTAAATGATTCTTTCTGGGTGTTGTACTTTCAGGTGATCTTACACCTATCGGTGTGCTCTTAATTAGCAGGAACTGATAATCTCTAATCTTTTCAGCACCTTCATTCAGCAGAATCTCTAAGATCTGCCTGTGGCACTTTGGGTCAATAGATGAAGTTAAAATAACACTGTTGATCATCTGGTTTACGCAAGCAGTGGCATGTGCTTCTGCACTTGCTGTTAAGAGTACGGCAACAGCAGCGACTCCAAGGGAAGCACTTCGCAGATCCAGCTTTAAATCACTGCCCCACTGTCAGTGGTAACTGAGGGAAAAGGCTTTCCCAGGCAGCAAATGATCAGTGTAGAGTTTTGAGGACTGTGTGTGTGTAATGTTGAAGAAGTTATGCAGTAATTCGATTCGTAAATTGGTAATGTTTACAAATCCTTATTATAACACCTGCCTGGTTTAAGTCGGATATAAATAATCTCGGCAGAGAGAACTAACGTCTCGTTCTAAGCTTTAGGCAGGGGCTGAACTCTTGTCTTCCCACTCGCTGATAACAGTCACCAGTTGTCGGCTGTCACAGGCTGACACTTTGTGGCTCTGTCTCGGTGTCTAGAATGAGTGGCTGAAAGGAAAGAGATAGTTAGAGATTGTATTTGGCCTCTCTTTAACCAAAGCTTTTTGCATCTGTTTTCTGCAAGGTGATGAAATGTGCCCAAAAGAAAGCTATTAGGGATTCATATTCTTTGCTAGGAAAATGTGAAGGATCGCTCAGCTAGAGTTGTATATGAAATATAAATAATAATGTCATGGTTTGTGGGTGTTTAAATAAATAATTTTCACTGAGATTCTTAACCTCAAAGTCGTTTTGATCATGTTTCATCACGATCAATGTTTGATCCTTTGAATATTTGATTATTACTTGTTGGGTGTGCAGGGCTGATGTCAGTTGGAAGAACGAACTGGATTTCTCTTTCTTTGCATGTGGGAAACCTCATTTAGCAGGAGCGGTCGATCAGCTTTGCAGAGACTGATGTCATGTGTGCAGAGGAGAGCCCATCTCAGTTTTAGAGAGCCAGCACAGTGACTGTGTGTGAAATGGTGTTTCTGCCAATGAACCAAGTTCGATCTTTGGTTTGCCAGCCCTGTGACTGCAGTCTGTGAAACACTGTTCTAATTGACTAACCATATTATATATAATGAATGCATATTGAGAAATCAGAAACATTCAGCCTTGTTACTCGTCCAGAACTGTGCTTAGGAAATGAGGAAGCAAAGCGTTTGAGTCTTAGTTCCTTTTTCCTGTGAAATGAGTGTGAATAACAGACCTTGAAGCTGAAACCAGCTTCTGCTATTTCAAAATACTCATGTAAAAAAAAAAAAAAACCCTTCTGATTTTTAAATTATCTCCAAATATTAATCAGAAGTTAACCTATGGTATGTCCAGAATCTCTTGATTCACCTCTAGAGTGAAGCTTTCATCTGATGCTTCTTCTGTTCTCCATATTTTACTGGTGTTGAAAGGGAGTAGAATCTGTGACATCATCTTGCTATGCTTTTCTGGAAATAGATGGTGTTAAAAAAGATTGACCATAGAACTTCTTAGAAAGCTATTAATGATAAATTACTCTGATTTTTATTAAGTTATAAAAACTCACCAGTAGATGCAGATGGTTAGATTTAAACTTGTTGGCAAATGTTGGGGTACAGTGTTTCTGTATGTATTGAGTGAGAAGGAGCATTACACAGACTCTGATGGTGACAAGTCCACATCTTGGGACTGTTGGTTGAGAAGATCACAGCGGAGTGAGGCTGTGAATTGAAGCAGATACAGATGTGACTCTCTGCAGGGACTTTATTCTGCAATACAGGTAACTTTGAGCTGGTCACTTTGAAGTTAATGCTGAACCAAAGAAAGCCGCTCATGCTCCAAAAGATGTTATTCCAGAGAGAAGGGACTCTCTTTCCTGTATAGCTTATTTGGAGTTTGCTTTCAGTGAGCTATGACTTCCTACTATTGTGTGATAGTTCTTTTCTATCAAAGACAGTATATTTGAGACTTTTCCTTGAAGAACACAGAGAACAGAGCAAATCTGCTCTTATTTTTCTATATATGGCCCAGATTGTCCATTTAAAAACTTGTTTTGATTGCAGTAGGGTTTTTTTTTACCCTTTGAATTTGTGCTTTCCAGGTTTTCAATGCCTATAAGTAATGCTGTTACAATTATTTTCCTTTCACATGGTATTCAAAAGCATTTTTGACTATATACAGTAAAAGTGAAACACTTGCTATAAATGCAATTGCTCAAGTAAAATATTTTCAGAGACTGTATTTTAAAGATGGTTTTGACAAATTATAACAATTAGAGACTTTGGAGATCGAGAATATTCAGTGAAACTTTCAGAGAAAAACAAGTTATGTATTGAGATAACTTTCATAATATCTAACTTTTTGTCCACTGTGGAATACAATTTTTCAGTTTCTCTTATGAGAGCTTACCTGAAGCTTTTGATTCTACTTACATAATCCCTGTTTATTTAATAAGTTACATATCAGCAGGGAAAACTACTTGTTTCAAAGGTACTTCAGTAACATTGAAATTTAAAGCTCATGCCAAAGACTCATGAGAATTTAGGAATGTTACAGATGTTGATTCTTTTTTTACCGTCTTTGAAGCTCTGATGCTCTGAAAGAGCAGGACAAACACTTAAAAGGCAGTGGGGTTGTAATTCTTAATATGAGGTAGGAAAAAGTAACCTTTTTCTCTTTGAGGAAAACCTGCTTTCTTTGAAATATTGACAGTTTGAGCCAGGCTGGCTTATCATGTTCTGAATGGGGAGGAAGAAAGAGTGTGAACTGCTAATTATCTACAAAATCTCCAAAGGCTCAGGCTGAGACTGCTGGAAAAAGTATTTTTTAATATTTTGTTTGATGACATTTCTGATAGATATCAAGACGTATTTTATTAGAAATGGTGCTTGAGTTGGGATGGCACCTGAATGTGCCATAACCCTGCTGGCTTATTTTGAGAAAGAAAAAAAAACCCAAACCATCCAGAGAGACAGAAAAGTCCGTTTTCTCCCAGCGTTCCTCCAGGATGCAGCCTGGCTCTGGCAGTGGCTGTGATGGGTTTGCACTCCTTCCTGAGCTCTGCATTAATGAGCTGAGTCAGGACCTGCTGACTCTCACTGCAGGCCACTGAGCAAACTTTGCTCAGTTGATGTTCAGCAGGAGCCCAGAGCCTGGGTTGATGAGCAGCAGTTCCTCTCTAACTAAATTAACCACCGTTCTTGGAATGGCTCCCCCTGTGAAGCAGGTTATGGTGCTGAATGTGACGGCACTGCCCTCCCTGTGTACGTGTCTGCCAATCTTTGATGTGCAAAGCCTCTCATCAGTGACCGTCTTTCCACCCTGCTGGTGCTACTGGTGACCTGGATAAACACCCCGGCTAAACCCACAGCAGATGCATCTATTCTGCAGTGCTTTCTCTGGTGTATTTCTCAGTTTTCATTTAATTAGTGCTCTGTTGACTCTCTGGTACCAATTGTGTAAGACTGTCACGTGGTACCACGTCAAGCTCCCTTCCAGAAATCTTTTGTCTGCACCAGGACTTTTATTGAGGCTGATGAATCTGATCAAATGAGGTGTGTTTGACAGGATCTGTATTGGGATTTCTGAGAGATCTGATCACTCTCTGATTCTGATTGACCACCACTGAATATTACCTCTAAAATTGTCTGCCTGCTCTTTCACGTCAAAAGACTAAATTCCCATGGGGATAGGGAATAATTGGGGATGAATTAATTGTCTAATCACAACATTGCTACAGTGGGAATTTTATGGAAAGGGGCAAATCCTAGTTTTAAGTGTCTGTCCTTGCTGAAAGGCTTTCATTATTAGTAAGACTGATGTGGTCATAAACTGCAAGCTACACAAAATCTGTGTGTGAGAGCAAGTACAGACACCTCACCTCTGGGAGGAGCCCAAATGGATTTTTGGCTGAAATACTAAAATGTTTGGAAGAAACTTTTGCCAAAGAGATGTGTGTTTGTCTAATTGTTTTTCTTACACGTGTTTCTTAAAACAGTCAAACAAACACTTCTGATATGGGAAGCACAGCTGAAGGAATGATCTGAAAACATAGAATTACCCACTTTGAGAAAGAGAGATGGGAATTTGGAGGGTCTCAACCCTGGTCTTGTCTCTTGTATTTGAAATGGGAGGTCTTTTGTGGGCCATATTAATGCCTGCAGTTTGTAAAGGAAGCTGAAAAAAGTTGGGTGGCCTGTTCGATTCAGGTGTTCTTAAAAGTTTGAAAAGAGCACAGCCAGTTCTTAGAAACCTCCCTGGGGAATCTGTGCCAGAGGAATACAGCAGCCTGTCCTATTAAACCCTGTGGACTGGCATTACATATATTTTTCAGCTTTGCCTAAGCAAATCTTTAATTAATGTGAAGGATCTTGGGGGGAAATACCTAAAAACAAATGTTATGAGGTTGGATACAGAGTTTTTGATGAAAAAGGATTCAAAGGAAATAGTTCTCAAGCAGTTTCTTCTTTCTTGGTGGATTGTACACATGTAAAGCACTCCTTGTTCTTTCAAACAGGGTGTGTTGTTTAAGCCTGAGAGAACAGTTTGCAGAAAAAGTGTAGTTTTAGGTGTTGGGGCAATTAACAGAGCAAGCCATAAGATTCTTGCTGGCTGTGTTCAGAGAGGGGTTATTTTTTAATGACTGCAAGGAAAAGAAGTAACAGGCTAATTCCTATTGTTATTCCTTAACTTCTTTTCAGATTATGTGTGGCAGAAAATTTAATATTTTAACTCCCTGCAGGACTGGCATTGAAAACTTTATCTTGGATTTTAAAGAGGAAGTTCTTGTAGTGACATATTACACTGAGGTCTTTATGCTTTTTGATATTAAGGTTGGTCAGTGGGTGCTGGAAACGTCTCCAGTGTAGAATGTGCTTTAAAAAAGTAAAAAAATGAGCATCTAGAATGTCTTTTAATAATGTTTCATTATGAGAGAAGGAATTTTCTGACCTAGGTCAAAGCTTTTAGGACAGATTGTTTCCTTACGAGCATTTTTAAACAATGGTTATGTTATTAAGACTCTTGGCAAAAAGTCAGATTAAGGGGGGGGAGGAGGAGGATGGGGAAGGGTTTTGTGGGGGATCCAGTCAGAAGCTTGCAAGCCTGTTTTGGAGGATGTAATGGAATTTTCTATTGGATGGGAATTTTTTTGTTGAAAAAATAAGGCATAACATTCTCAAAGACTTGCTGGGAATAGTTTTATTGCTGTTTTCCAAATCTGATTAATTAAATTCAGTTTCTTTGATTGAAACAAGATTCTGGATATGGGAACAAAGTTGAGATCTGAGACATGATGAGTAGTTTATTCAGTCATTTTTATTCCTAGCTTTATCTTAATGTGTGGAGTTAAGAAATCAACCTCTTTTTTAATTATTATTTTAAATAACGTGCTTGTTTTTTGGAGGTGGTTTTTTTTTATTATTTCGACAAAAGAGAACAGTGTGCAGTTCAAAAACTATTCCTCACGCTCAGAATTGTTGAGGTGGCACCCTGGCTATGGAGGCACAATGGGTTTTTGAGGATATACTTCAGATGGTCTTAGTTGAGGACAAGGAGACAGGGCTTGAGGTGTTTGTGTCCAAACTGGGCTGTTCCCGACTGTCTGACCGGCAATGACACGAAGTGTGGTCAAGAACGATGATATGACAATTCTTTCATCAAAAAGAACAAGCTGAGGGAATGAGACCTGGTTTTTATGTCTCCCTCTCCCAGCTGTGATCTCTGACAACCTTTCAGGCCGTCGCCAGGAAGGACAGGTGGTGCCACTCTGCCTTCTGATGCCTAAATCTGTGAAAATAGCAGTGAACTGGGGAAGAGGGTAGAAGTGAGGTTGTCATTTGCCCTTTGTCCCTCTGTAGGTCTGATATGACATGCCAGGAACCATGGGAATAAAACTGCTGGAATTCAGTAATTCATGCTTTAATATCTCTTTTTTTATCTAGAGCCTGTCAGTGTGTCTGCATACAACTATCCAGAGAAAATCTCAAAGTTTATAGCTCAGAGGTGATTGATAGCTGTTAATTTTTGAATTCATGAATGCAGTATTTTCCAAAATAAGAGACCCAAGTCAACATAGCAAAATAAAAAAGTGGTTTTCTTCCATGAACACTTGAGATAAACTTATATTGAAATTTTCACACTGGTCTCTCATAAAATGTGCCTGTTTTAAGTAAAAAACACAGTAAAAGCTGCTTGTTTGGGTTTTTTTTCTTTAAAGATTCAATTGTAATTAGGAGGTAAGTTTTGGGAAATACATTATTATAAAGAAAAACAAATATTAATGCTCTTAAGGCACTGTACTAACAGAAAATATTTGTTATTTGGGGGTATTTTGCAGGCCTAGACAGTGGGAGGTTACAGATACACAGCCATGGAATACACCACTATATGTGCAAAACACAGGCTGTCATTTTCTAGATGAAACAGCATTTAAAAAGTGTTTGCTGGTACCTCAATATTGCATTATCTTCAGACAGCAATTTCGAAGTACATTTCTGGCATCAGCTTTTTTGTGAGGATCAAGGTGATGTCCCCTGTTGGTGGTATGACTTGGCACTGCTGCTGAGCACTCTGCTGAGCTCCAAGCTGTGTGGGAGTGTTAATATTCTCCTTTAGTCACCTTGTGCACTTAGCCCTACATGTGAGGATAAAACACATGGTTGTTTTACCACCCCAGGGCAGAGTTTAAGCAGGTGCTACCAGTCTGGTGAACCCAGTGGCTGCCTTTGCAAGGTAGAGTGAAAACAGGTCGAGGAGGCGGCAGAGTGTTATGATTTATTTGTGATCAGTACTTAAAGGGCACCTGTAAGAAATGTGGGAGCCAACTTTTTAGGGCCCGTTGTGATAGGAGAAGGGGTGATGGTTTTAAACTAAAGGAGGGTCAGTTTAGATTAGAATTAAAAAAAGTGTTTTTAGAGGGTGGTGAAATGCTGGCACAGGTTGCCCAGAGAGGTGGTGGATGTCTCATCCCTGGAAATACTCAAGGCCAGGTTGGATGGGGCTCTGAGCAACCTGATGTAGTTGAGGATGTCCCTGCCTGTGGCAGAGGGGTTGGACTAGATAGTCTTTAAAGGTCCCTTCCAGCCCAAACTGTTCTGCTGTGTTTTGCTACAGAGGAACTAAGCTGGCCTGTGTTTTCAGATAGTTTAAAGGGTATTTATTCAGAATTAGAGTGAGATATGACAGAGCCAAATACTCTTTCCAAAATATTCTTCCAAGTTGGAATTTCTGAGTTTGCTTCTTCCCAAACATCTGTCCCTTGGGATTTCTTAACTGAGAGCAGGCATTTCATTTCTAGTTTTCAGAATTTATCTTCCTTTCCCCACTGTTTACAGTGACCTGCTCAAGACTCTTAGGACTCCTCACCTAACTTCTTACTCCCTGTTCTTGGGATCTTGCTGTTTAAACTCCTCTGACCTCTTCCCTCCCACAATCCCAGATTCTTATCCATGGGATCAGTAACTGCTGTAGCCCTGCTGAGCCTGGCACTGCATTGGTCTTCCTGCTAAAGCTCCAGCTTCTCTTTCTGTCAGGTATTTCAGAAACAGGACAAGTCTTTATTTATTAAAGAAAAGCCTTACCAACCTGATTGGACCTGAAAGCACCAAAGATGCATGCCAGGAAACAAGGATGGCCATGTGGTATTCAGTGATGGGCAACTCAGAGCTCCTCTTCACTTCATGGCACGTAGGGTAGAGCTATCCCTGCATATACAGCATTCCTGCTTTGGGAGTCCTCTGGGATGGAGTATGGAGCAGCCCCACGCAGGGAGGTTGTGTGGCTGGACTGTCCTCCTGGTGCAGGCAGCATTCCTTCTTTCCTGAGCTCAGTGGCCGGGGAGGGAGAAGCATGGTGAGGAAGAGCAATGGGGCCGTTCTTGGACAGGGTTGGTCTCTGTGGCCGCTGTGACAGCGTCGGCACCTGCTTGCCCTGCAGTCCTGTCCGAGGGTGACCGAGTTCCTGCTGCTTTGCCCGTTATTAACACAGTTCTGAAAGGCAGGAAACTGGATTTGCTCCTTCATAATTTCAGCTAGAAATGAGTCACAAGTTTGTAATCTTGTTTAGGTCCAATTTGTAGATGAATGTAGTAGAAACAAAGGCAGATGTTGCTACAGGAATTAGTTTAGCCTGGATGTGACGCAATTGTGAGCTGGGCATTTAGACTTTATTTTAAAGTGAAATCTTTGTGTGAAATGTAAGCTTAATTTGCTGTCAGTTTGAGAAAATTTAGGTTTGTCATGCTAGCATGGTTCTGGAGCTGAGAATTCAAACAACACTGGAATAATGCAGAAGACTGATAATCTTCTCTCAAACCTTTCACTCACTGAAAGACTGATTTAGGAACCTGCCAATCCATTCAGTGACCTTCACAGAGGGCACAGGACTTTCTCCAGTAATGTTAAAGATATTTTCTGCAATTTGTTGGATATTCTACCCTTTAGGTTACCCTTAAAAGGGGCAAGGGAAAGGGCAAGAAAACTGCCTGTAATTCTTAGATTTTAATCCTAAATTTGAGTGCATCTAGACTGCTTGTTTATATAGAAAATGATTTATCAAAGGAAGTGAAGCAGTTTTGGAAACATGCCATTTTGTCTTGTGACTGCTGCTTTTATAGAACTAATCATTATTTTTTCATACTGAAAAAAAAGGAAGCTCTATCCTGTCCTGTAGAACATTTTGCAATATGTTAGTGGGGAAGGTGTAATATGTAAATTAGCATAGTTTTATCCAAAACCTAAGAAAATTAAGAAACTAAGTTTCTACACCTGTTGATAAGTGCTTATTAAAGCAAAGTATTTTGTTTCTTCCTGGTAAACAGTCCTTATTAATTAAAAAAAAAAAATCTATGAGAAGATGGAAATAAGTGCAAATAATTATCTCAGCATGGCAAGAACTGCTGCAGAGATGGATTCATTTCTTAGTGCTGTGGGAAGGTGTGACCCGAGCACTGAAGTTCACATATCCTGAATGCAAAGGAAGACAAGGGAAAAGCTGAAAGCTTGACCTAATGTTTTGAGTTCAGGAAAAGGTGCTCTAATAGGCTTGGGGGGAAGGAAAGGGCAAGGAAAAGGGTAAGCATAAGTGGCATTAATTGGAATTAATTATAGAATTCTCATAGAGTGAATTTTTTAAAATTATTATTTATTTTTTCCAAATTCTAATGCAGTTTCTCTGTTTTTATTCCCTACCAGTATCCCTTTATGTTTGGACTGATCCTTGCACTCTGCTGGTGTTCCTTGGTTTGCTGTAGTCGAATTTATATGGGAATGCATTCAATTTTGGTAAGAAAATAATCCTGCTAAGCTTCTGTTTTAATGCTGTTCTGAATTCATAAACTGCCGTCCCACTGAAGGTTTTACAGTGCAATAATTGCTTATAGATGTATTTTTTTGAATGTCCTACCATAAAGGAACAGAGTACTTACATTTCTTCAGCACAGAAATTGATACAATAGCTAAAAGTGGGATATCACAGTTAATTTATACTTGTCTTTTATTAACTCAGTCCACAGTTGAAACTTAACAGCTGTTTAATACTGGGATTTAGTGCAGAAATTGATGACTGCTCTGAAGTGTAGACTGAATTTTCCTCTGCAGAGAAGATATAATTTTGCAGAATGAGAAAGTGGCTGTTAATGTTCACTTGGGTTCCATCTCAGCTGCTCAAAGCACATTCATTTCAGAGAGCCACACTGCATCCTGGGGTGTCACTTCCCAGAGTGTCTAGAACCAAATAACAAAGTTGTCATCCTCGAAAACCAAATTAATTTATTAAATAGGGTTAAAAAAAACCAACCCCAAACTGAAACACAAATGTATGCAATGTAAAAATGGGAAAACAAGAACACTTGTGATGGTTTTTGAGGATCACGTGCTAGAAGGAGAAAAGCCAACAGACAGAAAAGAGCAAGCCTGGTAGGGAGTAGAAAAGCTGGTAGATGAACACAGTGTAAAGGGAGCATGTGAAAATAAGGCAGCTCAGAAAAACTGAAAGGCATTTTTGCAGCACTAATTAGGAGGCTTCCCAAATTAGAACCACTTGTGTGGAGGATGATGTGATGGACTGATAGTTCAGCTGACACATGATGTCTTAGAACAAAGCAGTGCAACAAATAGTGGCCAGACTGGGTTATTTGGCAGTTCCACACCTGAATCCTCTGCAGTGTTTGAGGCAGTACAGTTCACCTCGTGTTGCCTGCAATGAACATCAACCGTGGTGCCTGAGTTTGGGGGGATTAGGATGGCAAATAGAGCAGGAAGTTGTGGTAGCTTCAGGAATGAGCAAGTCTGATGTTCATATCAGTCAATTGGATTAGAGCTTTTATCAAGCATTCAGTTAGTGGAAGTGAATAAAAATGGTGCATTGAAGAGGGAGCACAACAAACCCTGCTGATCCAAGTCCCACCTCCTGGCTCATATGGAAGAGTTGATAAGCATGTGAATGAAGGGGATCCACTTTCTAGTGCTTGGCTTAGTGTAGTGCCTGTTCTTCATTAACAACTAAAGGTGACAACACTTGCAGATAATTCCATGCAACTGAGTGATTAATCAGCAGTAACTGAATTATAATGCTAAATTAAAAAACAGAGTAGTCTTTTAAGTGAGAAAAGACCTTTTAGAATCAATAACAAAACTGAAAATAAAGTATGAAGCCATGGAAGTTACCTTTTCTTCTCCTTTGATAGTTGGAATAACTTCTCCATTCTTGCCAGTGCCATCACTCACACTGAAAAAATGCCTCCCTTACATCTAGTCTTAATCTATCCTGTTTTATTTTAAAACTGTCACCCCTTGTCCTATCACAACAGGCCTTACTAAAAACTCTAGATCTGTAACTTTGATCATGGATCATTTGATCATAACTTGGCTCATTATCTGGTCAGGATGCAGGTGACTTGTTAATAGATGATCAAGTGTAATTCTTTACCTTATCTTAAAAGAAAAAAAAAAAAGGTAATCCACAAGTCACTTTTAGCATTACAGCGGTCTAGTCTTATGTTCTTGCTAATGTAATTTAATTTTTTTTTTTAAATAGTTATTACACTGAAACCATGTCTTTCTCTTCAACAGGATGTTATTGCTGGGTTTCTGTATGCTATTCTTATCTTGGTTGTCTTCCATCCAGTTGTGGACCTGATTGATAACTTCAACTTGACTTACAAATATGCCCCCTTAATTATCATCAGTCTCCATTTGGCCCTGGGCATCTTCTCCTTCACCCTGGACACGTGGAGCACGTCGCGGGGAGACACGGCCCAGATCCTGGGCTGCGGTGCCGGCGTGGCCTGCGGCTCCCACGTCAACCACATCGTGGGCCTCCAGCTGGACCCTCCTCCCCACACCTTACCTTTATCCCTGTCCTCCCTCAGCGTGACTGTGTTTGGAAAAGCCATTCTGCGCTTGTTGATCGGAGTGATAGTTCTGCTGTTAACAAAAGTAGCCATGAAAAAAGCCACGATCCCCCTGGCCTGCAAAATATTTCGCATCCCGCACGACGACGTACGGAAGGCGCGGCAGCGCATGGAGGTTGAGCTTCCCTATCGCTACATCACGTATGGAATGGTTGGGTTCTCCCTCATGTTTATTGTTCCCTGCTTCTTCCATTTCATTGGTCTTTCTTGATGCGGTTGGAGCTCGTTAAACAGGGACAACAGAGTTGCTTTTCGGAGAGGGGCACTGGTTTGCTGCGGGAAGGCCGGCGAGCTTGGCTTCAGCAGGGTCTTCACGTCAACAGCAATACAAAGCAGGCAAAGCATTTAGAGGGCTTTGCACATCTCTGGGGATGCTGTAGGGCCGGCAGTCGAGGATCAGTCCAGGAGAGGTGCTGAACTCTGTAAATGCTGTGTCTGGACTTATTGCTGTAACAAAGTCTGTGTGTGTGTGATGCAGTGAATGTATCTGGGATGTCTGTCAGTCTGTACCTGTGTACACTGACGCTTTAACAGGTGTGTCTGACGACTAATCAGAAGGCTCCACTCATCATCTGTTTGCCATTTCACGGTAATTCACTCAAGTTGTTGGACCATAGACTGCTAAATTTGCTTTCTTCTGTTCTTTCCTCAAGTCCTGCTTCAAGATGTTTCAGTTTATAGGTATTTCTAATGGACCAAACTTGTAATGAGGTTGAATTTTTCTAAATAAACAAGCAGAAGCCTTTTTCTTTAGCCCCCTCTACAGAGAAAAATGTCTGGATTAGCATTGGTAGGTATCACTAGAGTATATATAATTCAGGTACTGTATTTTATGGTTTAATAACTGTGCCTTTCTGTTGCTAAATTAAGAAATGCCATATATACTGTGATGTAAAAATGCCTAATTTTATTTAAAATCTTACATAATTAGGCAGATATTTTGAAATGTCAGATTATCCGTGATGCTGACATGGTTCAAGTTAACCAGAATATTCAGTTTTGCCTGATCAAAATTGAGTAATGAAATGGCCCAAAAATTGTGTCCGTGAGCTCAAGATGTTGCAAATGGAACAATAATCCCTTTTGTAAGTATTTTTAATGTGTATTGTAAGCTACTGGAAGAGGATATATTTTTCTGGAGATTGTTTATACAGTGGACAGATATTCAGAATTAATTATTTAACCATATAAACAATAGAAACACCACCCCATTCTGCAAAGAAATGGGCTTCACTTACTATTCCAAACTAATCTAGAAAGGGCCACTGCTTTTAGGTATTTGGTTAGAAAGTATAATCCTTACTCTAGAAAATATATGTATTTTTATGCATTAACATACTATATTTAAAGGTGATAATCACTTTTACCCAGTTTAGACAGCTATAAGACAATGTAAAGATCAAATTAAATTTGTAATCATTCGAATTGGCAGACTGTGGGCAGTCAAGGCAGTGTGGTCAGTGCATGAGCTGTTTGTGCATATCTAAATTTTACAGCTTTTCATGATCCTTTTTCCAGTGGTGAGTAGAATGTGACCCTTCAACTGTAATTTCATGTGCCTCTTTCTGTTTCATTTTGTCTTGTTCGTGTGTTGCCCCATCTGTTCTTTCCATGTCAGGAGCTGTTACTGCAGGAAGCGCTGTCTTAGTGACAGACACAAATTACCTAATTTTGTCTTGTATGGTTGGTGTTTTTTTTCAGGAAGAGCATCATTTGGTTGGGAAATACGGTAATTAGATAGAACGCAAAGCTTACATTTTTCATAAACAATATTTGTAATTGAAAGTGGGGTTTTTTTTGGTTTTTTTTATATTGGAGATCTATGTAAGATTTACAAAATTACCTTCCCTTTCCTTGAAGCAGAGGAGGTTACGGTACAGTGGCACCAGATGATGTGAAAAATAACTTTTCTGATGCATTTCTCCAGTGCATCCCGAATGCACCGCTATGAATGTATTCAAACTGAGGAATTCAGAGCTGAGGGGGTGTTGAACAACTTGTGCAGCTGAAAAGACCTTACCCAGTAGAAAATGGTTCTCTTGTTTCCGTGCATATTTCTGCATTTGGGTTTTTTTCTACCTGTTCCTCTTATGCAGTGAAGGGTAAATTGCTTTCCGAGGTTTTGAGGGTGGGATTTCCACTGGTCTGGCTTTGCACACCGAGATAGCCATTAAATAAATAGCTGGGGGAATGTACACAAAATGCCTTATGCTTAAAGCCCTGAGAAAGTGCTGTAGTTTCAATTATATTAAATTAGTCTGAGGACTGGTGAAAATAGTAGGACAGCTTTCTCTGAAGTTTAGGGCATATTCTCCTTAAATATCCTAGCTTTACAGTTTATAGCAAAAAATGTTCAAATTCTAGCACAGAAAAGTGAGCAAAGCTAATTTGTAAGGTACATACTGGACTTCTAGACACTTAAAGTTTACAGCATACAGAGTGTAGCTAAAGCTGTCTTTTCTAGCTGTCCTTGCTCTCTTGTAGTAGTAGTGGAACATAAGATGTGCTGTGGAGGATCTGGAGGGGGTAGAAAAAATCACACACAGGTAGAGCTTTCGACAGGCTGAGGAAAATTGCACTGTAGCTTATTCTACTGTTACTCCTGAATATGTATTTTCTATTTTTATACATTACACTGAGTAACTTGGAAATGTCAGGGTCCACGTACCACGGTCTCGTCCCCAGGAAATGAACATCAGAGTGTTTATGCAGCACCTTCACAACTCTGTCTCTTCAGACTGCAACTACTTTACTGAAGTTTACATGACAAAAAGTTTTACTGTTCTATTTTCATGTTTTATAAGGGGTTAGGCTCGAGAGGGCAGTTTAGCACAAATGTCATGCAATACAAATACTGTTAGAGAATAAAGAGTCACAGAAATGCAAACACTTAAACATCCCGTGTAAATGTTTGTATTGTAGTATAATTTTTGTTTACTAATAAGCTAAGATTCTTTGGAATTGGGCATAACAAAGCAGCAGGTGAACCTGGAGCACTTTTTTGCCCTAACCTATTCCTAGAGTTGAACAGGAAAAATGTTTCTAGTATGAGCATCAGCTGGTACCAAATGGTTCATAAATAAATTTAACATAGCTTTAAAAGGTAGGTAATGTCTTTACAGAAGGACAGTATGCTTGAAACCCTTCATGAAGTAGTGCAAAAACATATTCCATGTCACTGCTAGGGAATTCCCTCCGTTCCAGGCTGTATAGTCTTATAAGGAGAGAAATCCTACTTTATAGAAGCAGATAAAAATGCACATTTATTACAAAAAGCTACGAGTTAAATTCATCTTAATTACTGTATGAAATAAAACTTAATACCAACAGGCAGTTAGAGAGTGATTTGGCACAAAAGTCCATTTTCCAAGAGGCTGAGGGGACACAAATTAGACTTAGATTGCCATAAAAAAAGAAGCAGGATCTTTTCCTGACCTTCCTGGGTCAGCACTGAGCATTTCATCCTGGGTGGGTTTTAGAATCTGTTATTTTGACAAAAGCTTCACGTTTATGAAGAAGTGATGACTTTAGCCTGCCACACCCCGAGCCGGGGTTGATTGAAGCGTTTTTCTGCTGTGTGATCACCTGGGAAGCTGCTCAGTCTCTGCTCACTTTGCCTCACCACTCACCTTGGTACCGCGGGGGAAGGTGGGAGGTGGGGAAGCTACTTAAAGGTAAATTGGCAAACCAAAGGGAGTTGTGTTGTGTTTATTTGCTTGGAGTTTTTTAAAGGTTATGTACAGCTTTTCTCAAAAGAAGCCCCCACAAAGCACCATAAAGATGCGTTTCTTATAAAATGGCATCTCTAAATGTGATATGTGGCTTTTGTGTTGTTTATTTTTTTCTTACCAGAACAGTGTTACATTGTCTGGATATTAGAAGCTATTATGTTTTTCTTTGCTTTCTTTTATTTTTTTTTAATTACTGCTCTCAGTATTTTTTTTTTACTCCATTTCTCGCTTATTTCTAAGGGAATGTCCAGAACTTTTTGTAAGCAATTGCTACTTATGTGAAGATTGTAATTTTGAACTTGTAAATACTTAAGGGCTGTTAGTGGCTGTTAGCTGCAAAAATGCATAAAAACAAACCTTGCATGCTGTAAGTAAATACATCTGTTGTGCTAAAAGTTGTTTCTGTTTCAGTATTTGCTTTCTCAATACAAAATTGAGATTTTTTTTTTTTTCACTTAGAATACAGATGATATTAAGTAATTGAGTGGTATGAAGGGGCATTGCTGTCAAGCTCCTGGTAACTTTACTCAAAGTTTTGCAGCTGGTTCCTTCCATATTACACTGAGGATGAACCCTGAAGGGACAAGTCCATGCTCTGACCTGTGTGCAGACATCAGTGTGTGAGGTGACTGCCCTTCTGAGGTGTGACAGCCTTGCTTTTGAGGTCTGAGAGATTGTTCTTGCTAAAATCACACTTAGCCCCATTTTTACAAGACTTTTAAAGGGCTTAACTTGGAAGCCGTTTCTCAGTAGCTGGAATTGGTTGCACATTTGTAACACTTAGTTGATGCTTCCCCCTCTGTAGCAGAACTGTGTGAATGAGGAGGCCCCAGAACAATGTCAGTAGATAAAGTGATGACAGAACAATTGATTTATTTGGGTATTGTGACTCAACTTACTGTAGTTGATTCTTGGGTGTTTTCTTGGTCTAATGGAGAGCGTTTGTAGGTTATACCGTTTATTTCTGGATTCTACAAACAAGTTTGAGGAAAGTGAAACTTTTTTGTGGGAGGAAGTCTCAGTGAATGATTTCATGGCAGAACTTCATTCCAGTGGAAAGCTTAAGTGGCCTTTTTGTTTCAGAAAAAAAATATAAGCCTGTTTTAAAATTTATTGTAAGTACCATCTTTGTCAAAATAATAGATGAATTGGATCACTAATGCTGTTTTTCTTCTTACAATACTTCGTTAAACAAAGGCAAACTGAGCTGAATTTGGAACAAAATATGACATTGTGTGGCAGAGAAGATACGGCTCTTTAGGTGTTCTCTAAAAAGCGATGCTAGATTTGAAGCACATTTAACCATGCATTAGAAAAATGTCTTTGCACTCCATTCTGCAGTAGAAATAATCTGCATGTTGGTAAGAGTCCATTTGACGAAGCAAAGCAGTGATCTCTGTAGGATCAAAGGGGAATAGAGGGTACATGGCCTAATACTACCTTAAAGATGTTGACCAGTAAATGTAAATAAGAATTCCCATCAAGCTGGAGAATTTTATTAGTCCCTAAACTTTGACTAAATTAGTCACTAAGTTTTTTCACAAGTTCATTTTTGTTAGAAAGTGTAATGAAAGACAAGAGAGATGGAAATTAGATCTTAAGAAAACTCTAGATGTCTAAAGTATCAAAGCTGATAAAGATCAGTTCAGGAACAAGTAACGTGAACAGTAAGAGCGGAGTCTGGGGGGGATTTTGTATTAAACTTAATGCACTTAAAACTGATGCCAAAATTTGGCCTATACTTGATTTATATGAAATCTGTAGTACAATATAGATATATATAATATATTGTGTATTGGAGTTAAATTTTTTTATGTATGGATTTTTTTTTCTTGTTACTGCATTCCCTGATAAAAGGAAGTGTTGATAAAATACAAACCAGCTTTGTCTGTGTAAGGTAAGGCTGTCTGTTAGTAATATTTTGGGAAACAATGCAGTTGTAA